GTGCCCTAAGCATTCAGAGCCCACAGTGTTCAGTGCCCACAAACCTCGGTGCACCCAGCGTTCAGAGCCCACAGTGCTCCGTGCCCGCAGTGCTCGGTGCCCACAGCGTTCAGTGCCAATAGGACAAGAGGACATAGTCTTAAGTTGTGCCGGGAGAGGTTTAGGTTGGACATTTGGAAGAATTTCTGCACATAAAGAGTGATTAGACATCAGAAGGGGCTGCCCACGGAGGTTGTGGAGTCACCGTCCCTGGAGGTGTCCAAGGAAAGACTGGCCGTGGCCCTCGGTGCCGTGGTCTAGTTGACGTGCTCATGTTTGGTCACACATTAGCCTCAGTGGTCTCAGAGGTCTTTGATTCAGTGATTCTGTGCCCCACAGCCCTCAGTGCCCACAGCTCTCTGAGCCTACAGCCCTGCTATGCTTCTCAAATAGTGACTAAAAGTCATGTCTATCAGTGAGCATCAATGAGTTTCACTGAGTGACCCTCAGAATGAAGTAAGAAAAGGGGCAGGGAGGGTTGTGTCTCTGCCGGCCTTAATACCTGTTTTTAAGCTTGGGTGTTTCCAATGCTGGGAAATATTTCTATTCATGCATTCAGTTGCATTTGGCTGGAAGCCAAGGTATGAATAAGGTGCATAAATCTATACTGGGGTTTGTGTCCATGGTGTTATATTTCTGTAGGCTTCTATATTATATAAGCAAGGCCATCCAAGGATAGCAGAGACTTCATTTTCTCTGCTATATTTCTCACACTGCATTAAAACCTCTTTCACTACTTGTAAGTAATTGAGAACTAAACAGAAAGGAGGAGAAAACCATTCTAACTGTATGAAAACATGAGTGACAGTTGGACAAGACAAGAGACAAGTTCATACTGCTTTAGAGTTTACCTGGACACTGTGTGCTTTTCATGAGAAAGCTAAGAAATAAGTAAAGCAATTTTTTTTGTTTCCCTTCCCCCTCTCCACAGTCTAAGTCAGCATTTTGGTCTTCCTCAGGCTCCTATGGCATGGGAGGCACTCCCAGGGCAAGAGTCTGTATGTCCTACTAAAATCAGATAATACCTCGACCACCTCAGACTAAAAGAATGAAAACTGATCAAAAGGGACTAGACTTTCGTTTATTCAAATTAAAAGAATGTTGTAGAATTCTAATTTTCTGCAAATTGGCTTATTTAAAATGATACAGGAAACCAGTGATAAAATCCATGTCCTTGCTTTTACTATTTAATTATATTCTCTTTGCATGCAGTTTTCTTTTTCTGATCAAAAGACTGCTCCATATGTAAGAGAAAGCTTAAAAGAGATCCAAGTTCAGTCAGAAATCTGAGGCATGAGATAGAATGGCAGAGTTCTTATCCCAGCTGATGAACAGTGTCAGTTCAATGACTTAGAGAGGCAGGTTCAGAGGTATCGACTGGGGTTTCAGATCAGAGTTTCAGATCAATTTGCCAGCAGAAACACACTGGCATTAGAAAATCCTAAACACTGTGAAAGTTACCCTGATTTCAGATACCCTTACTGAATAACTTGATTCAGTAATTTCACTCTTTTTCACCAAAGATGCATATATTTGTGATTGCAGCTTGCAGATGCAAACAGTGAGAATTGAGTCAAATAAATCCTTAATGGGAATGTCTTGAAATTTGCAGGCTTCTGTCACTGGTAGAAATGAGGATGTGACACCATCATAGAAGAATATGATCTGTCATTCTAGTCTGTTTTTCACTATGTGGAGATGGAATACTTTAGCTGTGATTGAAGTTTCGCTATGATTTGGTTTTGGCTGAATCTTAAAAAAAAGAGGTATGAATGTTCAATCAAGAATGACAATCAAATGAAGTTTCCACTTTGCCAGGCACATCCTGCAGCCACATGTGCTCGGCGTTTGCAGGGTGCCAGCTGTCACAGGCCACTGAGACCTTGATTTGAGCAAAAGAAGACAAAATTACTTTTGTGGAAACTGAATTTTGAAACTTAGTATTGCTGGAAGGCATGTGAGCTGCCCAGCTATCACAGGAATCTGTGACCCCTCCTCTTTGTGCCACAGGAACTCATTGTCTCAGTTGCTGTCCCTCAAAGAACCAACAGACCAAAACCATTGCTGCCTTAGGAACTAAAGACTCATTTTGGCAGACTTGTGGGAAAGATGAATATGGATTACTGACCTCTCATTGCTGGGGAGAACTGTGGAAGGAATGATTGATGATCTGCTCATTAGCAGCGGGAGAGAGACTGCAGGTCGCTCTTTAGCTAAGTGGTATTGTTTAGCTCTTAAAAAAAAAAAAAAGGCCAGATATGTGCATTTTTCTGCATCTCCTTAAATAAACATTAGCAGAGAGGACCTGTGGATGGTCATACAGGCTGGACTGTCATAGGGGCACACTGTATGGAACATGAGGGTGTTCTGCACTAGAATGTTGATACACCATGGTCTTGAATGATGTAATTTATTCCCATCAAGAGATGTGAGCACAGCTTGATTTGGAAGGCAAGTCAGCCCAGCAGTTTGTCACTGTGTCTTTAGGACTCCTTGCCAGTAACAAACCAGCTGTCAAGGAAAAGGTGTGTTGCTCCTAAGTAAAACATTTTACATCTGAGAAGTTCAAAGCAGCCTTTTCCAATTATTTCATGCAGAGTTCTTTTCCCCACCATCTCCTCCCCGAGCAAATAATTTCTCAGCACCAGCACAACGTGTGCATTACTAACACATGCCCCAGTTAGCTGGCATGTAAAAGAGATCTATTGTTTTAAAAGATCCTCTTTTTTTCCCCATGGGCCATTACTTTCACCCTTTGTTTTCTAAAATCCTCTACTGCTGGCACATTTTACCTTTAAAGTCAGTAGCTAATGCTTGATGTGAGAAGAAAGGATCAAATAAAATAGTCTTAAAACCAGCAAAGGCACCGTGCAGAGAGCAGGAGAGTGCTGGACAGGCGTTTGGAGCCAGGCATCCCTCACTGGGAAGCAGGTAGGATTGAGCTGCCTGTATATCTGTGGTCAGGCTCAGTGCAGCCTGCCTGCAGTCCTGGCTTTGCTTTGACACTGCACTGTTGGGGTCATTTTACAGTTGACAAATTCCTTTTGTTATTTTTATATAAACTTTTAAATTCTAAACAAGCCTGCAAATAGCAAAAGAAGACTGATGTTTCACTGATTATTCAGATTATTGAATTTTTTGGTCAACTATCTAAAAATCCAAAGGAATGTTTATTCCTGAAAGAAAAACTTATGGCATTTTATAGTCTAAGGTATCATTTGTTTTAATTAACAGTTAAAAAAGTTTGCATCTTCACCACGCAGTAACTCATTAACTGCTCAGATCTCCGCTGCGAGTTTGGATACAATGGGATGTTTCAGGTGCTTGATGTGCTGTTGATAAGAGGGGTTTACATGTAGATCCCAGAGCGATACAGCCCCGCGCTGCCGGGCTCTGCCCCAGCATCCAGCTGTGCCTGTTTGGAAGCCAATGCCTGGCTTCCCTCCAAAGCCCGGACTCTGACAGGGGGCTCCAAACCAGCTGCAGCCTCCCGCTTCTCCCAGTGACACGTCTGTGCGCACACACCTACCTTTGACCTCTCCTGGTTTGTTCTGTGGCAGCAAACACCCGAAATTTGCTCAGCTAATACAATAGCCCTGTACTTTTTGACAGAAACGCCTGTGGTTAACCTCTGTGGGCTGCCTGCTGCAATAAAATGAAGGGTGGTAGAAGTTAAACAATGGGTGTGACTACCACAAGATGGGTGTTAGTGGGAAAGTGGTGTAACATCCACTTAGCATTCCAGAGATGTGAAATATAATTATGATTTAAATGCCAAAGATGTAAGTTGCAGGATGAGTAACTACAAGGACATGAAAGCCTTCCTTATCTTCCTTTCTATCCCACTCAGAATCATTTTGCACACCCACAAAACTAATAAAAGTAGTGTCACTTGATGAAATTACACCTGATACATGACTTGTACCGTCACTTACATTTCTGTCAGTGTGGGCTCTGTTTACACCAAAGAAAAAATTCCAATCTCATTTACAACATTTTAAGTTGGAAGTGATTTTGCTCTCAGTGGAATTATTCTCTGTTTATACTCCCACTCAGATCAGAATCTGACCTAGGCTTTGAATTTTGTCTTATTTGCTCTCATCCTTTCCTATGACAGGCAGGGGTCCTCAATCTGTAAAGGGCTCCTCACACCTACATTTATGTATCTTTGCAGAAATGGCTTTTGAGCAGGTCTGTATTGTTAGAAATTGTCAACTAAATCAGCCTGGGAGCAGCTGGTTGCTGAGTGTACATGAATAGCTGCTTAATGTCTTTTACATCATCCAGCATATGTGGGAAGGAGAGCAAGAATGCAAAAGCGCAGCCCATGCCTAGACGAGGGGCTACACACTTCTGTAGCAATTCCAACACAAAGAAGTTAAAGAATGAAAGGGTAAGTTCTAGATAGGGCAGTGGAACAACTAGTGGGGAAAAAAAGTGAGTTCTAAACTTTTCAATAACATCTTTATAAACAGATACTCGGTATGTTTAAAATCCAAGAGCAGAAGGTGTGATCAACTCTGAACAAAGGGCTGGCCCAAGCTGTGGCCTTGGAAATTCTCTGTGTAGATCAGAACTGAAACCTGTATTTTAAACATTTTTTCCCCTAACATTGTTCCTCTTGTTTTCTTTATGGATTACATGAGAACCTAAGGTGAAAGTTTCTAGCACAGTACTGCCTTTTATTAGCTGTCAGCAGGGAACAAAGAGTATTATCAGCTCCACAAAGGTGACACCTTCAGATAAAAGCACAGGGGTGAGGCCAGGATTTGGGACTCAGTTTGTGCTTGGTCAGACCTTGTAATTGAACTGTTTGTTTTCTGTACAAAATATGCATGGGGCAGGGGTAAGCAGTGATTTTTCAGATATATGTTCATCTGTGGCTTTGTGTCTGACTAATTTCATTGCCTGAAGTGGAGCTGTAGAGTGGATAAATTGAAGCACTTACTCCATAGTGTTTGATGAGCTGGGACTACTTAGTTATAATGTTGTGGATATTTGTTTCCTAGAAATACCGTAAACATTTACTAGAAATACCTTCTGCTGGGTAGGAAGAACAATTTTCCATCTAGGGGAAAAAATATGATTAGTTAAACATGTTAAAATACAAATAGCAAAATAAAATTGTTCTCTCTTACAAACCAGAGAAAAAGAGTTCATGAAACCATGAAAGTCTTCAGATCATAGCAACAGTTAAGACAAAAAAGCCTAGGATTTAATAGTTTGGGGTTTTTTACAATAAAGAACTATGGGCCAAATCCTGTCTTCACGTTAGTATCAGTAATTCCAACTTTGGTGAGTGTCTGGAGCCACAGGAGGCCCGTTCTGGTCAGTCACCGTGGCAGAGGCAGCCACTTGAGAACAGAATGGCCTGGGAAGACTTTGGCTCAAGCCTCTCTTTCACAGCCCAGAAAAACAGGAATTGCCACAGACTGCAAGGAGATGAGCGATAGCACATTGCCATGCTTCCCACAGTAGTTTGGGTGCACGCATTAGAAAGCAGCTTTTCCTCATGTGGGAGGAAAAGAGGGAAAGAGCACTCCCTCCAGAGGGCAGCTCAGGCTATCTGAATTACCCTTCTCCAAACTGTCCTCTGGAGGAGCCATTCCCAGCACACAGGTCTGATTTCAGGATAGATTCAGCCACAGTAATTAGGGTTCCAGGTTGGCAAATGGATCCTGAGACAGTCAGATAATGTCCTGTCCCTGACACTTGTTCCTCATTGCATCCATACACTTACTTGGGAGTGCTGCTGCATCTTCCTTTGGGACAGTAAAGTGTCTTTGACAGTTGTGGTGCCCCAAAAGCAGAAGTCATTGTTTCTGTTAACTTAATCCACGTCAGAAATGTTGTTATTCCAGAAGTGGATTTGTCTCAGGGATATCTGTGGTCTGGCATGAAATAGTGTAACCATTTATATGATAAAAGGCTCAATTACATAAAACAAGAATAGGATTTCATTCTTTCTTCTGACAAATATTCTTATCACACCTGGAGGCTGATTGAGTGGGCTCAGCAGGTACACAGCTCTCTGAAAATCAAGACATTCAGGACTTTCCTAAATCCACAGTTAGTCTGCCTCTCCTGCAGTGCTTAGATAAAATAGCTTTCATCACCTTTTCATCACATCAAACTCCAGCTGAATCACTACTGCCTCCTGTCACGGTACCACAAACAAGCTTCTCAGCCCCTGAGGCCTACACAGGTTTTCATCAATATCGTGGTGGGTTTATCACGTATCTCATTCACAGATCTCAAGATGCTTTGCAAAGACAGGGTCAGCAGTGATACAATGAAGTCTCAGGAAGGGGGGCACTTACAGTTTCGGTGACTTGCCCAATGTCTGTTGCAAAACAGCCGTGAAACAGAACCCAGGCATTCTTGTACCAGGCTTGTGATTCAGCAAAGCACTAAACCAAGTGCTTAACTTTGAGCATGAGCTCAAGCTGTTTGAATGGAGACAGATTTAAGTATCAGTTTAAATACTTTGCTGGACTGGGTCTTCAGCTTTCAACAGCTAATTATTGTTTACAGCTATTTCAGGGTTTTTTCATACAGCTCAGCATATTTTTAGATGATGGAAATATTTTTAAACTAATTCAATGGTGTGAAAACACGTACTGCTTGCTGGCCTTTTAGCAACTCAAATGTTCATGCATATGTCTGGGGGTTTGTGTTGTCTTTTCTAGATGACCCCAGCGACTCGACAAAAAGTTCTTGGCCTTTACCGCAAGATATTTCAAATAGCCAAAAAATGGCAGTCGGCATCAGGACAGACAGAGGAGACTGTTAAAGAGAAAGAGTACATTAAAAATGAGGCCAGAACATTATTCCGAAAAAACAAACACGTGAGTGTCCTCACAGCTTTGAATTTCTTGCTCTTTGCTTCCTTCCTCTTGCTCTTTGCACTGTCTCAGTGACTGGATGCTAAGATACGAATATAAGAACTGAGTTCCCAAAATTTTATTCACCTTAATGGTTTGGGTGTATTTGGGTTATAATTTAAATTTCATCCTTGAGAAAAGTCAAACCATTTCAGCTCTTCATTAACTGCTGTAGAAGTCTAAAAGGTCTCTTTTCACTAAAAAAGTGCCAAGAAAAATTAAATTCCAAAGATACTGCCTGTGTAATTGAAGCAGCTTTTGATCTTTACAAAGTTAGCTAAGTGTATCATTACCCATGCAATGGCAAACAGAGCTCAGCAGCTTCTTTTTTTCTTTTCAAAGCAGCAATTATTGGCACTTCTTTTAAAAGAACCACTTTAATTTTTTTTCTTAAGGAAGAAATTTCAAACCCCTTTTGAAAGAGGCGATACAGACTCCATGGTAATCAAAGGTCCTTCTTGTAATTCAAGATCACAATTTTTATTTATAGCCTATATTGCTCTGGGACTAAATTGAAGTAATGCAAAGTCAAAAAATTAATTTAAGTCATAATTTACACCACATTTCTGACTTCAAAGGGAGTTTCTGGATAGCATGATAAGAGAATGTGCACCAAGGAGTGTCTTTCCTTTCTCCTCTAGCTACCTCACAGAGTGACGGATGGGTGAGTGTGGCTTTTTCATGGATGTATTAGTAGTTTACATGTGTATTGTCTTTTTACAGAGAAAATACCATGTTTGGGTAAAAAACTCCTCCTTTAGCGTCAGTCCTGACAGCCTCTGGGCCTTAACATCCAGCACCATCACACCCAGAGCTGTTGAGTCAAGGAAAATACTGATGTTACCTTTTATGGATGTGAACAATACAATCCTTGTATCCTTGGGATTGCCAGAACAAGCTAAAGAAAGTCATGTGGCTGTGCATCATTTACACTTGAGCTTCCAACTGCTAATTGCTGTACTTTTACAAAATATTTGTTTGTATGATCTTAGGTAACAGATCCAAAGCTGATTGAGCAGTGCATAGAAGAATGTGAGGCAAGAATAGAAATTGGACTGCACTATAATATCCCCTACCCGAGACCTGTGAGTACAAATCCAGTCACAAAGTCTTCAGCATTACCTGCTTAGCTCTCCCTGCACAGTGAAACCATGAGGTTACATCACTGTCACTGCACTGCATTTTCAGATGAGCTGGCATTTAAATGTGTGCTAAATCAGAGCCAAGTGTACATTGAAACCTTCTCCATCTATCTTCTTTCACTGTAAATTGTCGGGTTTCTTCTCAAAATAAGGAGTCAAAGCTTAAATGGAGTTGTCTGAGCCAAACTCCCAAGGCCTGTGAATATTTAGCCAGTCTTGTCTGACCAAAGAATGTAGAAAAAGATGGTAATGGAATCAAATAATAAACAAGAATGAGAGAATAAAAATACTTAATTGCATCTGCCATAGATACAATAATTTTCATAGCCTACATTACTGGTCATAAATCAAGTCCTGTGGAAACTCTTGTCTATGTTGCTGCTTCTTTTCCCTTCTTCCTACATAAAAACATACCAAAGATTACTGAAATACTGGAAGTTGCAGCAGTGTCTTCTATTGCACCACTCAATACAGTTTCCTCCCTGCCCAGTCACTTTTGTCTGTAGTACTTTATGTTGCCTCTCAAAGAGGCTTCCTCTCTACTCCTGTTAATTAGTTTATATTTTCACATCTATAGTTCCCTGATCAATGCAGTCATGGTCAAAAGCAAATTGTATCTTCATCAGATTCTTGCCTAAAATATGGTCACTGTCAGCATCTCTTTCACAATACAGAATTACAGTGCACATCTGGCAAACAGTGTTCCTAGAAATGGGCCTAAAATGTGTTCTCTACAGTGGCTTCAAAACCCCAAAGGATCAGCTCTCTCAGACAAACTAGATGATTATTATTTCTGAGATTCTAGAAATCTCTACTCCTGCTTTAGTCAGTGCTTTTACTACTATTTGCACCTAAACAGCCATCTTACAGCCTGACAGCCTCAGCAACAATAACATCTGACTGCTACCACCTACGTTTTCCAGTCACTTAGGGGGGTTACAGCTGCATGACTCCCACGGAGAGTCTTATGAAATAAAAAGACTTTGTCAGTCAAAGGAAGAGCCTGTCACCTATTGCTCCTTCTGCTTGTGGAGTCAATGACATTGATTGTGCATTTTAATGTGGCATATATAATCACGACAAAAAGAAGGCAGGCTTTCAATACATACAGTTTGGGGTTATTTTGTGACTTCTTAAGTAGGTATGAATAAATCACACAGTGCTTCAAGACATCTACTGAGGAATTTTTAGGATTATCTAGGTCTTATTGTTCTGGAACAGCAGTCCTACTTCAACAAGTATTTTATCATTACAGTCTGATATCAAACTGCAAAACAAGGTTACTAAGGCCTAAAACATAGGATTTTAATAAACACAACATTTAGGGCCTGAAAGTTACACCACTAATCTCTCCTTAGACAGTGCTCCTCCTAGAAATCTAATAACCTGGACTGAGACAATACACTTGCCCTCTCCAACGTGTGAAGAAACTATTTAAATCTCAGTGACACCTAGTCTGTATATATGCTGACTTTTTTCTTCCCAGTTTGCTCCTAACTGGTGGGATTTTCTTTTCCAGATCCATCTGCCTCCTATGGGTCTCGCCCACAAACAAGGTCGTACATTGCGACACCAGGAAAAGTTAAGGAAGATTTCTAAGCCAATATACCTGAAATCCCATGATGAAGTTTCATAGCCCACCACTTAAGCTGTGATGTGTAATCACATCCTTTAAGCTGTGAACTGCAGTCCAGGTGATTCGTGTGCACAACTGTGAACTAAGGTGTTTTGGTCACTTGCTCACACATTTCCTGAGGCCAAAAAGCCAATTGATACATTGCATGTGATGGATAAGGTTGGTCTATTATTTATTTATATTTTTTTTTAACCACTGACTCATCAATAAAAATAACACTTTTCAAGGAGTGAGGTGTGATACAAAGATTACTTTGTAATGGTCTAGAGACTCCAAGTCAGCTTTTCCCCCTTCCTTTGGAGAGGGTGTGGATGTGAAATGCAAAGTCTGGAATGCCATTACACAACTCTGAGTAAAACATTCCAGTGTTGGGTTCCTTAGGTTCCCATGTATGGACTGACTGAAAACTCTCCCTTCAGAGTATCACGAGTATCACTATGGAAACAAGCTTAGGATGCTTTGGTGTGAGGAGCATGTTTTCACATGGTCAGTCTTGCAGTATAATCACCGTGGGGACTTTCTCAACAATTATTTTAACTTTAGTGTGAGGTTTTAACTCTTAGATTATGGACAGAACCCCAACTTTAGTAAAAGGAAGTATCTACAAGTCTCTGAAGTTTGAGGGGTATTTCTGTTTCACAGGTGCCTCTTGAATGGAATTAAAATTAAATGAATTTTCCTCTCACTGGCCGTCAATTACTTTGCCTCATTTTCAGTCCTCTGACTTTACCAGGCTGTTCTTCAGGAAAGCTGGGGGAGCCTTTCATCCCTCAGGCTGAAAGTGCCAATGAGACCATGCTGTGGACAAGAGCCACACTGTACTGGATACTACCTAAGCACAGTCCACAGAGCTTTAAGGAAAACCTATTCTAGCCCAAAGTTAATAGTGGCAAAAAAAAGCAAATTTTAAAAATGCAGTGTGTATGATTTCCTGTTAAAGTGGGGGAAATCAGTGAAATCTCCTCTTCTGAGATCTCCAATTCATCCTAAACTCTCCCAGCTCTAATAGACAATGACAAAAAAATATTCTTGTCAACCTGAAAAGTAAGTGAGAACTGGTCATGTGCAGAACAGACTGACAGTCCCTCCCCCAGGAATGCACTCCTAAGAGTGAAAAAAAGCACAAGCGGATGAGAAAGTACAAGGAAACAATAACAGGAGTGAATCAGCATGACAGGTACTGGCTGGCCCAATTTCTCACTGCCCTTCATGGCTCCAGTCCACAAAGGTATCTATTTCCATATAGTTATTTCCTGGATGCCACATGTGGGAAGTAATAGGTAAAATGCCATTGTTCTGCCTGTCAGTGGGATCTTTGCAAATTTAGTGCTGTCAGGAAGACACAGAAGTCCTTTAGCCTAGGAAAAGGGGGATGGAATAAAGAGAGTAAAAAAATAACATGATTATACACACTGCTTAATCCTTCACTGAAAGAAGTCCAAATACAGTCTTTTCCTACCCTCATTCTGATACACCACTGTAGGCATGTGTCAACTGAGCCAAATCAAAATGTGCAGAGACAAGGGGTTTGAATGGAAGTTTAAGCTCCCTTTTTGCCATTTAAGTATCATTTGAATCTTTTGAATTGTTAAAATTCCTGTGGTTAATGAAGGTGCTGATGCTGTGACACATCTGGTGAATAAACAGCTTTGTAAACAAGCAGTCTGAATTTACTGTCTCTGTTATAGTCACAACTCTTTCCTAAGCACATACCATAAGATTTAGATTATTTCAAAAAAACATCCCTAAAATCACAGAAGATTTACACCAAATTGAAATAACAACATGAGTTTGAGTTTACTACTGAAGGAAAATACAAACAAGCAATTTTAAAAAGGATCAAATAGCCTTGATAACTCAAATGAGTTACTGCTTAACTGAGAAGCCAGCAAGTTGAACTGTAGTGACAGCATCACATTATTTGAGATGCCTTAAAATGCTAGAAAGCCTAATGATTTTTCAAAATAAGTGTTGGAAAAATTATTAACTAGTGCCTCATCCTCATTACTCTCCAGCACCAGAAAGCAAAGACTAAGATTTGTTGAAACCTCAGGCTGTTCTGCTAAAGGAAGGACTAGATCAGCACTTTTGTCAAGTCTGGAGAGAAAAAACTTTATTTTGCAGCTTAAGTTAAACTCTGTATGGAAAGGAGAATCTGCCTTAACTGGAGTCCTTTGTTTTGGAGGTCAAACCATTTTGAGTGAGTTTTATAAAAAAAAAAAATTCATCTGCAACTCAGTGCAGCAAGTCAGCAAACATCTCAACCGGTACTCTTGTATTAAATGCCAAGGACTGTACAGCTTCTGTCAAGAAGTATCCCAATGACTGCCCAATATGTCATTCCTACACATTAATTTTACTTGCAAAAAGATGTTGTCCTAAAATGCCTCTGAGTTCTGCAGAATTTATAATGCACTGGATTCAACCAGTCCGTGTACACTCTGTCCTGTACTTCCTGAACTTTCTCTTATTCCCCTACCAGTAAATACCGTCTCTTTCTAATTTATCACAGTAGTCAGGAGATGCTTTAGCATGATTTAGAAGAAAAGATTACATTAACTTTATATTTTTTAGAAATAAAAACCCTGAGTTAGTTGCATGAACTCTCCTGCAAAGCTAACTGGTAGGCAATAAATTGCAGTAATAATTTGTTGACATGATATCTGGTCTTGAATATCTAAATAACACCTCCTTTCTGAATGTTCTGTCCCTAAATCCATCATTAGTAAGGTTGCAATTTATGAAGCCATGCACTTATGACTAACATTAGCAAGCACACAATCATTTAGGAAGATGCACTTGGCACCTGCTTGCTGGATGTATCCCTCAGCATTGTCTGGGGGTGAGGAAAACCTCATTATGCTGCAGCAGCAACCCAAGGGAAGCATTACAGCACTGAAACATGTTAAGATGGATTAGGTTATCTGATCTATCTCCCTACTAATACAAGTTTCTTCTTGTAATACCTTTTAGATCTGGAGAAAATAAGGCAACCTGGACCTCACTCTCTTGGGGCCCTGCTATGTATCCACCAGAAATTATATCAGTAACATCCACGTTTTATCCACAGGTCACTTATTTGATCATACCTATAAATTCATTTTCAAGAATGCTAATTAGAGCTGAGACCTGCAACTTTCACTGATTTTTCTAATCCTACTAGGCAAAACATTCTAGCTATAAGTAGAAGAATTTGGGGCCTTTGCATGGTCTTTTGCTTTTTCATTGTATAATTTTCCTTTTAACAGCCCAACAACGTTAAAATCAACAGAGACAGTACTTTCTGAAATGGTTATTTGCACAGATAAGAGAAAGGTTTCAATCTCCTAAGAAAATGTACAAACCTATCTGTATTACAGCACCCCTAGCTGAAAATCTTTCTCTGCTAAGGCAGAAATATCTCTTACTCCATAATGTCTGTATACTACATTTTTTTCCATCTGCTTTGAGTTATTAGCAAGGCTGTGAATCTATGGTTTGCTGTAATTACAGGCGGTTTTTGTGGTTTATTTAATGAGTGCTTCTAATTAAGAAATGGAAATACTAAACCTGTAAAGCCAGAATTCTAATACTACTGTTATAAGGCACTTTGTCCAAAAATTTTTCACATTTTTATCATGTCCAACTGGCAGCTGAGTTGTCTTTCTTAAAATGCATCTCAGCCAAGAAAGTTGGTGAATTCTAACGTTTAGCCAGCTTATCATTCTCCAGGAAGGTCTAGACAATGCTCAGGAAATAAGGTTGAGAAGCTCATTTCAAAGAACCACAGAAAAATATCTCTAAGACAGATATCCCTTGACAGTAAATTTCATTACTTTTTCTCAAACAGGGAAGGCAGCCCAGGAAATCACATCCTGCAGTAATCATCAGCTAAAGCCACTCAGCCATGCCTGATCCCTGGCAAAGGGGCAAGCAACAGATGCACAAACCCTCCTTTACGGACTCTTATCTATATATTTTTGGTCACATCTACGAAAGCTTGAAATACATCTTTAATTACATTCCAAGAGATGCCTTCATATCCAAACTAAACGTCAACACAGAGGAAGCATTTAGAAAACCACACGGTAACAAGGACATTGCACACTTGTAGTAGCAAAGTCACTATAAGTTCACAAGAACAACAAATGTGTCATTTAATAAACTATCAATTACTGTTCACAAAAAGGTGTTAACAAGAAACCCACGTGGCAAGCTATGACACAGATTTCCAACAGTTTAAAAGTAATTGATGTCCATAAAATATAATTTAGGTTGCAAATCTGACTTTTTTTTTTAATGGCTTAATTTAGAGGACTGTGTTTGCAATACTAGCAAGAAGAAGCCTAAGAAAAAAAATGTAAAGGACCAATTTTAATTAATTTATTTATAGATTTGCTGAAACACGATTCTCTTCTTAAAAATTGTTCTCTATTTGGATAGCTGTGCTGTAGCATTCATAAACAAGTTTTGTTTTGCTATAAGTGCCAAATATCATTTAGTCTAAGTCTAAGAGTAGTTGCTTCCTGTCAGTAATTTGAAACACCTGCACATCTCTGTCCCTTTTATTAAAACAAACATCCATGAAGTGAACTGGCCTGACACCTTTGCCTTAGTCACCATGTAACAATAATGATGCACCAAATACCTGCACACTGTACTGTTAATGAGGCATCAAATGTGCTCCATGAAGATACTGTTTACCTGTGTGTGTGTTTCCCTGTGTGCATCTCTGTGCAGAGCAGCACTGCACAACATACCCTTAACACTCCTGGCTTACCATTCTTAACAGTTACTATTTTATGAATATCTGTATAAAACAAGCCAATGGTTAATAAAACAATAATGAACACTGTTGTCACCTGTCACAGCTAAGCACAACACAGCAGATAAATTCCTCTGACAAGAACTTTATGTTTTAAAGAGTTGCAGCAGCATCCCTTAATGCTTGTAGCAGGATACTGGGAATTGCTGAATGATGGCTGCATCTCTGACTTTGTGAGGCCTTGAGCAAGTCATTAAAATGCTACAATCTGGGAATGAAAAAAGTACATGACCCCAAATTAGTGGATATTTATGCAGTGTGTGTTTTCTTAAATGTCTGCCTTGATCTTTGTGTTTCTCTTGTACCATGTACACAACAAGTCTAATGATGCATCTTTAGAACCTTCTTGGCATGCTGTGGGGTTTAGTTAATGACTGTACAGCTCTTTGAAGATGTTCAGGCTATTTTATTTTTAATTAATGCTTGCAAGCTACTTTGAGCTTCTCTGATGAAAGGGCTTAAACAAGTACAAAATTTCAGGCGCTCATTAGCCCAATATGCAAGTGAGCAGGATGAGGAAGTGTGCTGGGTTTGGCTGGGATAGAGTTAATTTTCCTCGCAGTGGCTGGCATGGAGCTGTGTTTTGGATTTGTGCTGAGCACAGGATTGATAATATAGAAATGTTTTTGTTATTGCTGAGCAGGGCTCAGTGGCTGAACACCTGCCTGCCCATGGGAAGCAGCGAATCGATTCCTTTTTTTTTTGCTTTGCATGTGTACATGGCTTTTGATTTTCCTATTTAACTGCCTTTATCTCAACTCAAGAGTTCTCTCCCTTTTACCCTTCCAGTTCTCTCCCTGACTGCTGTGGGGGGTAATTAGTGGCTGTGTGGGGCTTGGCTGCTGACTGGAAGGAAGTAAAGTGAGACTATGGGAGAAAGGAAACAGTTCCTTTTGTCAGGTACCTGGGATATGCAGTAAAATCATAATGAAATTAAAAAAAAAAAAGTTAAAAAATTATGAGACAAGCATACTGTTCTGAGAAACGGCAGGCTCCCCATACATGTGCTGTCTAGACGTTTTCCATGGAAATTCTGAGACACATCATCGAGGAATGACTATAGTTTTATGATATAGCTCTGGCAGTTCATTCTAGATGAGGATTGATTTTATATGTTGACAACAGAATATTCTCACCTCCTCCCTCCTTGCCCTACATACTCCTGAGACACAGGAGTGGCTGGCAAATCCACAGAGTCTTATTTGCAGGAGCTGTGAAGTAGATTCCCATTAAAATCAGCATCAAAACTCTTTAGGCCCAATTTCATAAAAAAAACAAACCATGCAGCCATTGAGGAGTAAAGTATATCTTTACAATAACAAAATGTGTTTTGACTTGGATCCTCTCAGTCATCCAGCTGGCACAGAGCTGCCACACCTCGATTTATCCAGTGTTTTTGGGGCTTGTCTGAAGGGAGTTCAATGGAGAGAACATAGTTGGTTGAGTGGCCAGTGGTGGATAAGACACCTCTTCTTGCGCTTGTCTTGTATACAGGGCACGAATAGATGTCCATATGAAGAAATTTGGAACTTTCTCCAGGTTTCAGCCAGATTATGGGCAAAGGATCATAAAGGATTTTTGGTAGTGATTCTCCAATTAATGAGGATTCTCTATCCCATCGTGCACCTTCTAAAAAAAGGCCTCTCACATAAGCCCCATCTTGTGGCATTTTCTCCATTGTGTGCTCCTCCTTCATCACCTAAAATGATTAAACCATTGCTTGATTTTGTTTTTACCTGTAGCATATTAAATCCTGTAAGTGATAGTCTGAAATTTCTCCTTTAAATAAAATCTCTTTTCATCTGAAGACTATTTCTTGCTGCCCTATAACATGTTTCAAGCTGTTCAAGAAAAC